TCTTCAATCTGTGACTTAAATACGCTGCTGTAAATTCCATGTTTAAAAGTTTGATAATTGTTTTGCGTACATCATGATATTATTATTATTGTTTTTTAGATGTTCTTATTGAATAGCTGTATTGCTGCTTGTATGTATGAGATTAGTCAAATGTTAAGGAACCTTGGATTTGGTGGTTCTCATGAGAGAGCTCTTGTACTGTGAAGTCTACTTATTCCTTTAAATGCAGGTTCGACTATAACTAAATTTCTGAATGTGCTTTATTGTGAACTCGTTTGATGAAAGCTTGGTATGTTTTGATGGGTTAGCTTCAATAGCTGTTTCAAGATTGTAATATGTGTCAATGATTGGAAAGTTCATACCATGGTTAATGGATCCTCTGATCAGTGGAGTCAATTACACCTGAGGTACCTAGGACAGTGGAAAGCTCGAGGAAATTTCCTCATATGGGTGTTTTGACGAACTGTATGAGGGGTACCACTTAACATGATATGCCTGTAAAGCAGGATAGAGATTTTGTGATTTTATGAAAATTCCTCTCGTATGAAACTTAGAACGTAATGTGCTCTGTTGTACTTGCTTGACTTCCTGAAGGCTTATAAGTATAGAATTCTGCCTGTGATATTATTAAGTAAGGTGATTAATATAGAAGTCTGAATATGTAACATCCCGCGAATTTGGGAAGTTGTATAATTTAGTTAAGAACATGGAAGTTTCCTTGAACTCGAAATATAAATACATGTTTATATATAGGGTGGACTTAATTCAAGTCATGAAAAATTATGTTAACTGTAATTAGGTGTGAGTATGTGTTTTAAGAAATTAAAATTCTAGTTAAGAGGATGGGATTAATTTTAGGTACAAAATAGGTAAAGAAAATCTTAGTTGCTACCTTGTGGATATAAAATACATAATAACTATTACTATATGACGTGAGATAAATGAGCCCTAGGAAACTAATTTTAGGAAAACAATGGGTATTAATGGACTCGGCCCAAGGGCCATAATAGAAATCAAGTAGCCCAAATCTCATTTACCTTTTCATGCGCATAATATAGAGAAAATAATTCTGATTTCATGTTTTATCCTCCAAACCAAACCAGCCAATGCATGTTTAGTATGTGTCAAACAAAATCTCTCCTATCCTCTTGCATGTGCGACACCTAAGCTAAGAAAGCAATTTGATCCTTCATGCTATGTCACGACCTACTAACTTTCTTGAATAAGGAGTCTACCTCTCCAAAGCTCAAACTGATCTCCTCACGTTTCATGGAACCATAACAGAAAAAGAAAGTTGATCACCTTCCTCATCATCTCCTTATGCGTAGGACCAAGAACAAAACCGGAAATCAATGGTGCTTCGTCTAACATAAATTAGAAAACCATCATATCCTCATCTTCCTTTAAAAAAACTGTGATCTTCACTAGGGGCAGAGTCACCTCTAATTTCCAGTTTCATTTCTTCTCACGGCTGGGCTGGGTGCGTAGGAGCTAGGAGGAAGCACCTTCACTAATTCTATTGTCTTTGATAGTAACTGGCCTTGAAGGCCGTAGCATGTGAGAAGGAAAAACAAAATTTTTCTTATGCGGAATCACACATGCAATCAAGAATCATGCTTTATGTCGGTATGATGTTACCTTTGTTTGTGAGTTCAAAACTCCAAGACGATCAGTGTTAGGTTTAAAGGGTTCAAACCCTCTAACGTTGATCCACACCACCCACGTCTAGATGCAAGAACTCTTCTTGTCAAGCCACCAATTGATCACCACAAAGAGCCTTGCTATGCGCTCAATAAGTGAAGAAGGAGCTAGGTAAATCTGTTTAGAAGAAAGAAGTCTTCAGCATGAAAACTTCACAAGAGTGAGAATGGATTGGAGTAGAATTGGCTAGGTCCTTCTTGAAAACCTTAAGGAGAACTTACCCCTAGTATGCGCACAAGAGAGTGAGAGAGTTTTTCAATCAAATCAGATTTTTCTCTTAGATCAATGATGGCACAAGAGAGGAGAGAAAGGTGGAGTTATTTGCAATTCAAAATTCCCAACAACCTACCTTTGAATCCTCATGAGACTAGGTCTCTTCGTAGTCAAAATTCTTATCCAATGGCCATCATATGGCCAGCCATTATGCGCCCCTATTCAGCCCCAAAAGGGGTCTAGATTCGTTGAGCAATTGCATTCAAATTTGAACCAACTCACTCACTGATTCTCTCAACCAACCAAATCTGATTGGAGCTTGTTTGGTTGACTAGATGACACTCATCATCCATCCAAAGTGGTGCCCCAAATCAGCCCTTGGAGATCTCCATAGATCTTCTCTTGATACAAGGGATTTGTTCCAACAAGATCTCATCTTATCCTTTTGTTATGAAACAACTTTTCATAGCCAATTCAAATTCGAATTCTACCATTTAAATTCAAACGTTCAAACATCTAAATTCTAAATTCAAATTTCAAATTTCAAATTCAAATTTCAAAATTCAAATTCAAATTCAAAATTCAAAATTCAAAATTCAAAATTTAAATATTTGATAATTAATTTAACCAATTAAATTAATTAGTAATGTCTTGGACCATCCAAGCCCATTAACCATACCATGCGCCCTCTCCCTCTTAGGTGGGCTTCCAAACTTCATCTTGGGCTAACAACCATTATTAGGCCCAATACCTTTAATGTATATCATCATGACAATAAGGTGTTAGTGTGTGACCCATTAGGCCCAACATAGCTACTGACATAAACGAGCTTGGGCCCAACCCATCTAATGATAACACAGAGCACTAGCAATGCTTTGTTGCCCCAGAGCCAGTTAGATTAATGACTTGATCATCCTATTACACATATTTGGTCGCCGTATATATTTCCTTTCGTCTCGGTTACCTTCCCATTAAACTAGGGTAAGGAAACGTATCAACCCTTGCGGTTTAGGGTAAGCTTTATTCGAAATAGGGAATCTTCAACTTACTGACTCTAAAGGCAGATCATCTCATGATCTCTTTTACTATGCATAGATTCCCAAGTCCCTGTAAACGTCATCCCGATTTCTCCGGTTTACAGATAACCTAATCTCTCACAGAGAGTTGACGAATTACTTCAGCTTATCACCCTAGCCCTGTGCTCTTTCAGGACAAGCCCAATAGTGTACCTATGAGTCTCCATGTTTCAGGCAGACGAGGTATACAATCAAAGCATGCCTTCTAGAACACAGTCTAGGTAATAACTTCTGGTCTAAGGAAAGACATACCCAAATATAAAGAGACTACTCTAATGATATTATCTGTGAGATTTCCTCATAGAGTCTCTTTGTGGGTCTGTTCAGTGCGAGCTATACCCTTATAGGTCCACTCACGACTTTAGCTAAGACATCTCCATATCTGTAGCACATGAGGTCTTTACCTTGTATCCAAATACAAGTAGATAAGTTGTGCTAGTCTTACCCGAGATCACTGATCCCCATTCTTAGTGTCTCTAGACTAGGAACATAAAATTAGGAATAAACGTGCGGTATCCTTGAATCCTCATGATCGTGATCTCATCACAGATACTCAAGAGATACGTGTTCTATTCCAAGGAGTTTATCCAGTTACTCATATAAAATATTAATAATAATATTGAGACAAAATATGAAACAGGATAAAGAGTGCTTTTATTTATTTGCGACAATATAAAAGGTCCACATATGTCCTAATCTAATCAAAAGATTGTCTCTAGGACATCCATATACTAACAAGCTCCCACTTGGCCTAGAGCCAATCTGACCTAAGTCGTATACTTAAAGCCTCATAATGACTATCATGTTTTCTCTGAGAAACAGCCTTTGTCAGAGAATCGGCTAGGTTATTATCTGTGGGAACATAATCCATCGTTACATCCTTCCTATCAATGATTACTCTAATCAGGTGATATCTGCGGAGCATGTGTTTAGATCTTTGATGAGACCTAGGTTCCTTTGACTGCGCAATGGTTCCAGTGCTTTCGCAAAGCAACTGTATGGGCTCATCTACGCTTGGAAACCGCCCTTAGTTCAGATATAAACTTCTTGATCCACACGGCCTCCTTAGCCGCTTCTGAAGCAGCTATGTATTCAGCTTCTGTCGTTGAATCTGCTGTTGTCTCCTGGTTGGAACTCTTCCAAGATACTGCCCCACAATTTAAGGTGAATACGAACCCTGACTGTGACTTGCAGTCATCTTTGTCACTCTGAAAGCTGGCATCAGTGAACCCTTTCACTGTTAGCTCATCAACCCCACCATAGACCAGAAACGCATCCTTAGTTCTTCTTAAGTACTTAAGGATGGTCTTGACTGCTTTCCAGTGATATGATCCCCCAATAGGATTGGAGGAATGGATCTACTAGGAATGGAAAATTATAACTCCAAATTCAGCCGCCAACACGTACTGTTAAAAACAGAACGTCTCTCACGCTACGGACCTCGGATTTGGGTGATTCCAAAACGAGGTGAAAGATGGCTTCCTGAATCACGATTTTGGCACAAGAATCACCGGAAAAGGATAAGGAATTCGGGAGATATGAATCCAAGATAATATAGAACGAAATTGGAGTTTAAGGATTATAGGTAGGCGCCACAATTCCAAAGAATTGATAAGCCCAAGAACGCCACAAGGATTGATGCCCTTGATAAGTTCAGGGATTCTCAAAAGAACCCAAGAGAACTAGTCTCACCAAAATAGGTTAACTTGATATTCCAAATTTGTCTTCAAAAGCCATGGTGTTCCCTTATATAGTGGGCAACAACCATATTGAGTTTAACCTAAAAGTGCTTACACATAAAAGAAAATAGACAGCCCAATAATCCAGCCCAATAAGCCTTATTACAAAAAGTATAACTAAATATAAGAAAATAAAATTAAGCGCAAAATTTGGGCCAAGTAAAATAAAGCCTTCATGCATATCCATTGAGGCTTATTCTTCAAGGTCTTCAATTTGAATTAAGTGTATCATTTTGGGCTCTTCTTCGTTTAGACTTGGGCTTGTCTCAAGTAAAGTGGTCACCAAGAGATTTAGAGTCTTTTTAGCTTTTGCTCTTGTCATTGGGCCTCCAAGACCTTGTATGTCCTCCAAGTTTGTTGTCTTGGTCATGCCACCTCCTATGTCCTCATCATTCCCTCCTTCTTTAGAAGAATTTGTCCTCAAATTGTAATCCTCTTCTCCTGCATCAAAAAGGGACAAATCAGCCACATTAAAAGTAGCACTTACACCATACTCACCAGGAAGGTCTATTTTGTAGGCATTATCATTAATTTTGGACAGCACTTGGAAAGGGCCATCTCTTCTTGGTTGAAGCTTAGATTTCCTTTGGGAAGGGAACCTCTCTTTTCGCAAATGAACCCAAACCCAATCACCTGGTTCAAAAATTACCTTCTTCCTTCCTTTATTTGCCTGCTTAGCATAGCTCTCTACCCTTTTCTCAATGTTTGCTTTTACCCTTTCATGTAGTTTTCGCACATATTCAGTCTTACTCTTACCATCTTTATGCTGAAAAATAGAGTTGTTAGGCAAAGGTAGCAAATCAAGAGGAGTGAGAGGGTTAAAGCCATAAACAATTTCAAAAGGAGAATAATGTGTAGCACTATGAACTGCCCGGTTATATGCAAACTCAACGTGGGGCAAACATTGTTCCCATGACTTGATGTTCTTTTTAATTACAGCCCTCAAAAGAGAAGAAAGAGTTCTATTCACTACCTCAATTTGGCCATCAGTTTGTGGATGACAAGTAGTAGAAAAGAGAAGTTTAGTCCCCAACTTACTCCATAATGTCCTCCAAAAATGGCTTAAGAATTTAGTATCACGATCAGAGACAATGCTTCTTGGAAGCCCATGGAGTCTTACCACTTCCTTGAAGAACAAATCAGCAATATGGATTGCATCATCAACCTTTTTGCACGGAATGAAATGTGCCATCTTAGAAAACCTGTCCACCACAACAAAAACAGAATCTTTACCATTTTTAGACCGAGGTAGTCCTAAAACAAAATCCATAGAAATATCAATCCAAGGGCAATTTGGAATAGGTAAAGGAGTATACAACCCATGAGGCAATAATTTAGACTTAGACTGCTTACATACAATGCATCTTTCACACAATTTATGTACATCACGCTTCATGTGTGGCCAATAAAAATGTTCATGCAGCATGTCTAGAGTCTTTTGGATTCCAGAATGTCCCATTAATCCCCCCGCATATGCCTCTTTCACAAGTAATTCCCTAATGGAACCTTTAGGAACACACAATCTCTTTCCTTTAAACAAGTAATCATTATGCCTAAAAAATCCATTTTGAGCAGCATCCACACAGGTTTTATAGATTTGTGCAAAGTCTGGATCATGCTCATACAATGCCTTAATATGATCAAAACCAATGAACTTAGTTTCAAGAGTAGAGAACAAGGCATACCTTCTTGGAAGCCCATGGAGTCTTACCACTTCCTTGAAGAACAAATCAGCAATATGGATTGCATCATCAACCTTTTTGCACGGAATGAAATGTGCCATCTTAGAAAACCTGTCCACCACAACAAAAACAGAATCTTTACCATTTTTAGACCGAGGTAGTCCTAACACAAAATCCATAGAAATATCAATCCAAGGGCAATCTGGAATAGGTAAAGGAGTATACAACCCATGAGGCAATAATTTAGACTTAGACTGCTTACATACAATGCATCTTTCACACAATTTATGTACATCACGCTTCATGTGTGGCCAATAAAAATGTTCATGCAGCATGTCTAGAGTCTTTTGGATTCCATAATGTCCCATTAATCCCCCCGCATATGCCTCTTTCACAAGTAATTCCCTAATGGAACCTTTAGGAACACACAATCTCTTTCCTTTAAACAAGTAATCATTATGCCTAAAAAATCCATTTTGAGCAGCATCCACACAGGTTTTATAGATTTGTGCAAAGTCTGGATCATGCTCATACAATGCCTTAATATGATCAAAACCAATGAACTTAGTTTCAAGAGTAGAGAACAAGGCATACCTTCTTGAAAGTGCATCTGCAACTACATTAGACTTACCTTTCTTGTGCTTGATCACATAGGGAAACTGCTCCAAGAACTCTACCCATTTGGCATGCCTTTTGTTAAGCTTGCCTTGTCCTTTTAAGTACTTTAAGGACTCATGGCAACTGTTGATGACAAACTCTTTGGGCAAGAGATAGTGTTGCCATGTTTGCAATGCCCTTACCAATGCATACAATTCCTTATCATATGTGGAATAATTAAGAGCAGCCCCATTCAGTTTTTCACTAAAATAGGCAATGGGATGCCCCTCTTGCATCAAAACAGCCCCTATCCTCACATTAGATGCATCACATTCAATCTCAAAAGATTTAGAAAAATTAGGCAATACAAGAATAGGTGCATGTGTCAATTTTTCCTTGAGAGCAGCAAAGGCTTGCTCTTGTTTTTCACCCAAAGAGATGTTAGCATACAATTTCTCATGCCTTAGTGCTTCCACAACATACCTCAAGTGCACAAGATGATTCATAGGATTTTCTATAAATCAGAATATCATCAAAATAAACCACAACAAACTTTCCTAGAAACTCCCTTAACACATGATTCATTAGTCTCATGAAGGTACTAGGAGCATTGGTTAAACCAAAGGGCATAACCAACCATTCATACAGCCCATATTTAGTTTTAAAAGCTGTTTTCCATTCATCCCCTTCTCTAATCCTAATTTGATGGTATCCACTTTTTAAATCAATTTTAGAGAAGAAACAAGCACCATGCAATTCATCCAATAAATCATCCAATCTAGGAATAGGATGTCTATACTTTACCGTGATGTTATTGATGGCTCTACAGTCAGTGCACATTCTCCAGGTTCCATCTTTCTTAGGCACTAAAAGGACTGGGACTGCACATGGACTTAAGCTTTCTTGCACCCATCCTCTTTTCATCAAGTCTTCAACTTGTCTCTGAATCTCCTTGGTCTCTTGGGGGTTACTCCTATAGGCTGGCCTATTAGGCAATGCAGCTCCCGACACGAGATCAATTTGATGTTCAATGCCACTTAGAGGAGGCAGTCCATGAGGCACCTCTTTGGGAAAGACATCTTCAAATTCCTGCAACAAAGAAGAAACCTCATTTGGAAGAGAGTTAGTAGGACTTGCATCTTTGATATTATTACACTCTTTACTCAAAAGTAAGAGCATTGGATTTTTCAATTGCATAGCCTTTTTCACCTCTTTTTCTTTTATAAACAAATTTTGTGTTTTTCTCTCTTTTTTTCTCTCTTTTTCTTGCTCTCTTTCCCCTTTTTCTCTCCACTTTCTTTTCTCTCTTGCTTTCTTTTATCTCTCATTTTCAAATGATCCTCACTAACTTCTCTTGGAGTCAAAGGTGCAAGAATAGTCTTGCGTTCTTCATGCACAAAAGAGAATTTGTTGGTGTAACCATCATGCATAACTTTCTTATCATATTGCCAAGGTCTCCCAAGAAGCAAATGACAAGCCTCCATTGGTACCACATCACATAAAACTGTATCATCATACTTTCCTATGGAGAAGTTCACCTCCACTTGTTTGCTTACGGTCACTTCACCATCCTCAATAAGCCATTGAAGCTTATATGGCAGCGGGTGAGGTTTGGTTTCCATGCCCAATTTAGACACCATTCTAGCACTTGCAACATTGGTACAACTCCCTCCATCAATAATTAAAGTACATACCTTTCCTTGGATAAGGCATCTAGTATGAAAAATGTTCTCTCTTTGACTATCATCCATGTCTTTTACTTGGCTACCCAACATCCTTCTTACCATAAACAAATCTCCTCCCGGTATAATTTCCTCGTCATACTCATCTTCATCATCATGTGAGGCAGAATCTAAAGAAGACTCACTAGTAATCTCTCCATCCTCTTTAAGTAACATAGTCTTCTTAGTTGGACATTCAGAAGCTATGTGACCTCTTCCCAAACACTTGACACATTTTATTTCACTACTCCTTGTCTTCTTAGGGGTCTCATTGGACTTAATTTGAGTTCTTTGAGGTGCAGCAGTGGGGTTGCTTGATGAAGTACCTCCCTCCTTATTTATGTCCTTCCAACTTGAAGAATTAAAATTAGAAGAGTTTTTCCTCATGACACCATTTCTCTTGAGTTGTTGTTCTACCTTACTAGCTTGATGCACTAAATCCTCCAACTCCACATAATTTTGCAACTCCACAACATCCCTTATGTCACTATTCAGTCCATGCAAGAAACGTGCCATAGTAGCCTCCCGTTCTTCACTAACATTTGCTCTAATCAAGGAAACCTCCATCTCTTTATAATACTCATCTACACTCTTGTTACCTTGTGTAAGCCGTTGAAGTTTATTGTGAAGGTCTCTATGATAATGGGAAGGAACAAATCTTCTTCTCATTAGCCTTTTCATCTCCACCCAACTATCCACCAATGGTTCTTCATATCTTACCCTCTCCTTTTGCAATTGGTACCACCAAATAAGAGCATAATCACTAAACTCCATGGCTGCCACCTTCATTTTCTTTTCTTTAGTATAGTTGTGACATGAAAATAAATGCTCAATCTTCATTTCCCACTCCAAATAGGCCTCCGGATCACTTTTTCCTTTAAAAGATGGTATATTAAGCTTCACCCTTCAATTCTGTCCTCTCTAGCAACATTCTCATTATCTCTTCTTCTCCTTCTTTCATCCCTCCCTCTATGTCTATCATCATCATGATTCTCCTGATTTTCTATTCTCTCAATCCTCTCATATAACTCCTCTGTATGTTCCCTCATCATCCTTTCCATCTGAGTTGTAATGGCGTCAATTAGCAATCTGTTATCTCCTCCCATAGGAGGAGGAGTACCTTCACCTGCACCTGCCATATTTTAAGCAAAAGAACAAGAGTAAAAAAAGAAATTGGACCTCACCACTCGCTCACGTGTTTACACTCTTAAAAAGTATCACTCGTGTTTGTTGCTCTCTATTAGGCTTTTGTGTAGTGTGCTCTCTTGCCTTTTTCCTCTCAATAGCTCTCTTTAAGTTCTTAATAGAATCTCCAAGAACACTCAAGAGTACAATCCCAAACTCAAGAATTCGTAATGACACAATACAAATTGGAAATATGTCAAAGAAGGCAAGACAAAGAAAACCAAACCAAATTGAAGGAATTATTCAAGGAAGACACTTTGGACCTGATTTGAGAGTAGTAGTGTGTAACTAAGCTTAAATAACAAGTAGCAGTTGTATAGCATATTTATTTTATTTTATTTTTTTCAACTTTTTTTTTTTTTTTTTTATAAAATCTGACGCTTCAATAAAATGGAATTTGTAATTTTGGAATGAAAAATTCAGATTGCAGTAATGCTAAACTGAATTTGATTGAATTCTCCACAAAACAAGCTATTATTTAACACACTAACACCATACTACTCAAGGAACAAGGATTGAAAGGATTAAAAATCAAGAACAATGATGAACATAGGACGAACCTTAAGAACACAAGGGCAGAAATTATGAACACAACAAGAAATTGAAACAAACAGAATATCAAAGGAACAAATTAGGAACCAGCAACAAAGGCTAAAACAGAATTGCACAATTCAAAATTAAAAACACAAATACTAGGGATTAGGGTTACCAAATGTGTGATCAGAATTGATGGAAACAATGGAGAAAATCAAACCCAATTCCAATCCAAGAACTGAGCTATGATACCACATGATATGATCCCCCAATAGGATTGGAGGAATGGATCTACTAAGAATGGAAAATTATAACTCCAAATTCAGCCGCCAACACGTACTATTAAAAACAGAACGTATCTCACGCTATGGACCTCAGATTTGGGTGATTCCAAAACGAGGTGAAAGATGGCTTCCTGAATCACGATTTTGGCACAAGAATCACCGGAAAAGGATAAGGAATTCGGGAGATATGAATCCAAGATAATATAGAACGAAATTGGAGTTTAAGGATTATAGGTAGGCGCCACAATTCCAAAGAATTGATAAGCCCAAGAACGCCACAAGGATTGATGCCCTTGATAAGTTCAGAGATTCTCAAAAGAACCCAAGAGAACTAGTCTCACCAAAATAGGTTAACTTGATATTCCAAATCTGTCTTCAAAAGCCATGGTGTTCCCTTATATAGTGGACAACAACCATATTGAGTTTAACCTAAAAGTGCTTACACATAAAAAAAATAGACAGCCCAATAAGCCTTATTACAAAAAGTTTAACTAAATATAAGAAAATAAAATTAAGCGCAGAATTTGGGCCAAGTAAAATAAAGCCTTCATGCATATCCATTGAAGCTTATTCTTCAAGGTCTTCAATTTGAATTAAGTGTATCATTTTGGGCTCTTCTTCCTTTAGACTTGGGCTTGTCTCAAGTAAAGTGGTCACCAAGAGATTTAGAGCCTCTTTAGCCTTTTTAGCTTTTGCTCTTGTCATTGGGCCTCCAAGACCTTGTATGTCCTCCAAGTTTGTTGTCTTGGTCATGCCACCTCCTATGTCCTCATCATCCAGTGACCCTCTCCAGGGTCATATTGGTATCTGCTCGTAATGCTCAAAGCATATAAGACGTCTGGTCTAGTACATATCATGGCATACATGATGGATCCAATAGCTGAAGCGTATGGAATTTCATTCATGCGATCCTTCTCAGGCTGTGACTTAGGACACATAGCCTTTGAAAGATGTACCCCATGACTGACGGGAAGAAACCCTCTTTTCGACCCTTCCATGCTAAACCTCTTTAGCATTTTGTCAACGTACGTGGATTAAGATAAACCCAGCAGCCTGTTGGATCTATATCTATAGATTTTTATACCAAGTATAAAGGCCGCTTCTACCAAATCCTTCATGGTGAAATTTTCTGAAAGCCAATCTTTCGTTATTTGTAATGTGGGGATGTCATTTCCTATAAGTAATATGTCATCTACATAAAGCACCAGGAAGACAACTTTACTCCCACTAACCTTCCTGTAAACACAAGGTTCATCCTTGTTCTTGATGAAACCATTACTCCTAACAACTTCATCAAAACGAATATTTCAACTCCTTGATGCCTACTACTATTGCAAGCATGATCCTAATAAATTTGATCATGGCAACAGGTGAGAAAATCTCATCATAGTCAACTTCTTGTCTTTGACGATACACTTTCGCCACCAACCTAACTTTATAGGTCTGAACGTTGTCATCTGTATCAGTCTTTCTTTTAAAGACCCATTTATTACCGATAAGAACTATTCCTTGCGGTTTACGAATCAAGGTCCATACCTTGTTTTGATACATCGAATCCATTTTAGATTCCATGGCTTCAAGCCATCTAGAAGAGTCAACATCCTTGACTGCCTCTTCGTAGTTACTTGGTTCATCATTCTCAACAGTTTGCTGATTCTCAATCACAAACCCATACCTCTCAGGTGGATGGATGACCCTCGTAGACCTACGGAGTTGTGTGTTTACTTCTCCTTTGGAGAACGTCGCTGCAGAGCAGACTCGGGTTCCTCAATCTGTTCTTGTGGTCCTTCAACTTCTTCAAGATCAATCTTACTCCCACTGGCTCCTTGAGAGATCAAATCCTTCTCAAGGAACTCAGCACTCTTGGACACAAACACCTTGTGTTTAAAGTAGTATCCCTTAGAACCTTTGGGATACCCCACAAATTGACATTTAGTACTCTCAGCACTAAGCTTGTCTGATGCCAACGCTTTGACATAAGCCGGCGATCCCCATACCCTGAGGTAACTCAGGTTGGGTCTCTTACCATTCCATATCGTATATGGTGTAGTCTGAATAGATTTAGACGATACCCTATTTAGAAGGTATGCCGCTGTGTCTAAGGCATATCCCCAAAACGATTTTGGAAGTTGAGTCTCACTCATCATAGACCTAACAATGTCTAACAAGGTCCTGTTTCTTCTTTCTGAGATACCATTTTGGTGTGGTGTGTAAGGTGCAGTAAACTGCGAGAGAATTCCATTTTCTCTCAGATAATCCCGAAACTCATGACTTAGATATTCACCATCACGATTTGATCGCAGTGACTTAACCATCGTGTCATGCTGTTTCTCTACTTCATCCGTAAAGGTAATGAAATAGGAGTATCCTCCTCTAGCCTTAATAGACATTGGGCCACATACATTAGAGTGAATGAGTTCTAATAACTCACTAGCCCTATGAATCTCAAGGCCTTTGGGCTTTTGACGAATCATTTTCCCAGCTAGACAAGATTCACATTGTCCATAGGATTCCAAATCTTTGGGATCTAGGCATCCATCTCTTGCATCCTAGACAATCTTGTCTCATTTTATGTGCCCTAGTCTACGGTGCCAAAGATAGGATTGATTATCTATCTTTGGTCATTTCACATCTATATTGAGCACTTCAGTTCCCATTTCCAAAACATACAAGCCATTTATTAAAGAAGCAGTACCAAAAACAATATCATTCAAAATGATAGAAAATGTACCATTCCTAATACTAAAAGCAAAGCCATCTTGTTCTAAACAAGAAATAGAAATAATGTTTCTAGAAATGCTTGGAACATAAAGACAATTATTCAAATGCAATAAAAGGCTCGTAGGCAAAATGAGGTCAGCATCTCCAACAGCTTGAGCAGCAACTCTTGCTCCATTTCCAACGCGGAGGTCCACCTCGTTCTTCTCCAATCTCGTAGGGCTCCTAAGCACCTGCAACGAATTGAAAATGTCAGAACCACAACCGGTATCCAATACCCATGAAGTCGGATTAGCACAAGAATAATTTATTATACCTGAGGCAGAAATATCACCATGCTTCTTGTCCTTCACATTCTTCAGGTAGTCTGGACAATTCCTCTTCGAATGGCCTTTCTTGCCACAATGGAAGCACTCAGCATCGCTTTTGTCCTTGGATGCATTCTTACCCTTCTTTTTGCCTTTCTTCTTCTTGGGTTTTCCTTTGGGCTTAAGGGAGTTGCCTTTCGCAGGCTCCTTTCCCTTACCCTTGGCCTTGCTAGGCCCACCAATTAGAAGAGCATGTGTCCTATCCTTCTTGATAGACACTTCAGCAGTTGTTAACATGCTTAACAATTCATGCAAGCTCACAAGCATCCCATGCATGTTGTAATTCATAATGAATTGACTGAAGGAAGGTGGAAGCGAGGTCAAGACTAATTCATTACTTAGCTCGGCATCCATCACGAAGCCTAGATTTCCTAGCTTCTCAATAAGCCCGATCATCTTAAGAACATGACTGCTCACAGACATGTTCTCAGACATCCTGCATGAGAACAATTCTCTAGAGGCCTCATACCTCTCATGCCTGCCTTTAATGTCATACAACTCCTTGAGATGTAAGACAATAGAGGGAGCATCCATATGCTCATGCTGCTTTTGCAGTTCAGGCGACATGGATGCCAATATGATGCAGACAGCCAACACATTGTCATCCATGTGCTGTTTGTGGGTCTCGAAATCAAATTCCGCGAACCCATCTTCCCCTTCCCTAGGAGCTACGGGTAATGCAGCACCCAAGACATAAGCTATTTTTTCAGCC